GAAACCTGTATAAGGGCCAAGAAGCGACAGTTAGAACCGGATATGGAACAACTGATTGGTTTAGCATAGGAAAAGGAGTACGACAAGGATGTATACTGTCACCTTGCTTATTTAATATATATGCAGAGTACATCATGCGAAATGCTGGCCTGGATGAATCACAAGCGGGAATTAAGATTGCTGGGGAAAAGATCAACAACCTCAGATATGCAGACGATACCACTCTAATGGCAGAAAGTGAAGAGGACCTAAAGAGCCTCTTGCTCAGGGTAAAAGAGGAGAGCGCAAAAGTGGGCTTGAAGCTCAACATCAAAAAAACTAAGATCATGGCATCCGGCCCCATCACTCCTTGGCAAATAGAAGGGGAAGTCGTGGAAGTGGTGACAGACTTCACGTTCCTGGGATCCCAGATCACCGCAGACTGTGACAGCAGCCATGAAATTAAAAGATGCCTGCTTCTTGGGAGGAAAGTGATGGCGAACCTAAACAGCATGATAAAAAGTAGAGACTGCACCCTGCCAACAAAAGTCCGCATGGTCAAAGCAATGGTATTCCCAGTAGTCATGTATGGCTGTGAGAGTTGGACTATAAGGAAGGCCGAGCGCCAAAGAATAGATTCTTTTGAACTATGGTGCTGGAGAAGACTCTTGAGAGTCCCTTGGACTGCAAGAAGATCAAATCAGTCAATCCTAAAAGAAATCAACCCTGACTGTTCCCTGGAAGGCCAGATAATGAAACTGAAGCTCAAATACTTTGGCCACCAAATGAGAAGGGAGCACTCACTGGAGAAGACCCTGATGCTGGGAAAGATTGAAGGTCAAAGAAGACGGGGACGGCAAAGGATGAGATGGTTAGACAGTGTCATAGATGCAACAAACATGAAGTTGAGCCAACTTCAGAGGACGGCGGAAGACAGGAAGGCTTGGCGTGATCTGGTCCATGGGGTCACGAAGAGTTGGACTCAACTGTGGGACTGAACAACAAAAACAACAACAATGTATTTTTAACTGGTGACTGTTTTTGCCATCACAGACTAACAGGGCTACCTATATTTGCCCTGTCACAGCCCTTGTTTTTCAAACTTCCAAGTTCGGGTGTTCTTCCTTTTAAAGGCGCTCCTCTTAATGTAGAATGACAGAGCTCCATATCCATCCCGTTCCCTTTCAGCTCTGCTTCCCTGCACAGCGCATGGAAAACAATAAGGCCCACAGCTCCGCTTACCCTTATTTCAGGAGTCATCTGACAAACCCCGGTCGGCACCGATCAGCGACAGCCGGCAGCCTGGGCTTTTGCATAACAAAAGCTTACCATCAAGTCGGCGCCTGGGAATGCGCCCCCCACCCCCGGCGGCCGCTTTGCAACCGCATATTTGCCTAACATTTTGCAGCCCCTTCTGCGTCTATCATTTCACGCATTCATCTGCAATATGTCGGGGGGGGGGGAGAGAGAAGAGCGATTCTCCGCAAACAGACACACCAACGCCTCTCACTGCCAATTTTGAAAACTCAAGCGCTCCTGCTTTAGGGGAAAGGCTCCTGCATTGCTCTCCCCCCTTTTGTGATTTGCAGAGGGGAGGGGGGAACCACATTATTTTTGTTATTGTTCTCCTCGATGCCTGCTTTTGAAGCGCTGGGCTGCTGGCTCTGATGATCTCTTGCTTCTTCCCCGCAGGCTCTATTCCCCCTATTCTTAGTTGGGCCGTTGCTATGGGTTACGAGATCAAGGCCGGCTGGCTTCTCTACCTGACAAACAGCCCCCGGCGGAGCTCGGGAGCATGGAGGGCGCCGGGAACACACAGACTCCCAGGGAGTGGGGGGAGGAGGGAGAGAGCGAGCTGCTGAGCAAGCGCCTTGCATACGCCCGCAGTCAGTGTGGACTTGCAGCTGCAGGAAAAAGTCCAGCATGTGGGGTGGAGTGGGAGGGGGGGGAAGAGTGGATCAAGGCCCTGAGGTAAGAAAGCAGCAAACTGCAACTCCAGGTGGTGCAAAGGCTGCCTAGAGGAGCAAAGGGGGAGGGGGAAGGTTGCTGATGACTAGGCAGTCTTCGGTTTGCGCCTAGTGTGAAGCCAGATGGTGAGTGAGTGGGGTTTGGAGAAAAGTTTAGCATGCAGGGGAGGGGATGTGGACTGGAAACCTTTAAGCCTGCAAGGCTTAAGACTCAGGGATTTGTGTTGTTGCTGTCAGAGAGAGAGAGAGACCACCTGCGGAAGTTAACCAATGAGGAAGAAAAGTTTTGGGGGAGTTGGAGATAGCTGAGCAATGGAGCGTTCTAGGCAGGTTTTTTTTTGCCGGTGTGTTTCTAAATCACAGAAGCAGAGAAGGGGGAAAGGGTTAAACGCGTTTTGAAAGGTACAGAGCGCAATCCTGGAAAACTGATTCCTTTTCCACGCAAATACTTGTGTTTCTAGTGGTGGTTGTTCGAGGGTGAATTGAAGCTGGCCAATTTCTGACCAGTGATCTGTCTGGGTTGATAATTTCTGGTTCGCGTAAATTATACAAAAAGGAGCAAAATAACGTGACAGACTAAGTAACAAAGCTAAGATTTTCCAGAACAAAAGTTGGATGGATGCAGATTCGCTCCCCCCCCCCCCCTCCAAGTCAGGGCAGTTTTAACTTTTAACTTTAATTTTTCAAAGCATGTTTTATCTTCAATCTGGACTGTTGAGGCCTTTGTTAAGGAGAAGTACCAATTGATACAGGAATTGTTAACGATTGAGCAAAATCAGACACAGCACAGCTTAAGTAATTGTATAGACAAAATGATTGTTATGGAGCAAAACTTGCAAAAGGAATTGGGTTTTTGCCTACATTACTATAACTACCAAGAAGGAAAGGGTTTATTTTCTTCTGCGAAATTATGATTGTGTGTGTCAGGGAGAGAACCCTGCTGGAGGGGGAAATTAAAGAAGTCAATATAGTAGATAGCAGTTTTAACTTTTAACTTTAATTTTTCAAAGCATGTTTTATCTTCAATCTGGACTGTTGAGGCCTTTGTTAAGGAGAAGTACCAATTGATACAGGAATTCTTAACGATTGAGCAAAATCAGACACAGCACAGCTTAAGTAATTGCATAGACAAAATGATTGTTATGGAGCAAAACTTGCGAAAGGAATTGGGTTTTTACCTACATTACTATAACTACCAAGAAAAAAAGGGTTTATTTTCTTCTGCAAAATTATGATTGTGTGTGTCAGGGAGAGAGCCCTGCTGGAGGGGGAAATTAGAGAAGTCAATATAGTAGATATTTAATCATTAAAAGGATAATTGCTGGTGAGAAAAAGGGTCAAGTTTGTAAAGGTCAGAAAAAATGAATAGTTTTTAAAATGAATAGTGCAATAAGGATATTTAATTTTTATTTTTTGCAAAAGGTGTATGTTTTCAAGTAACAGGTTTTTACAATCCAGGAGAATGTGCGGCTTTCTTTAAAAGTGTGCAATTCTTTCCCCTTTTTCAGTTAGTTGTTACCCATTCTGAAACTTGATAAATTAAATGCCTTTTTCCTCCCTTCAACAAAATATTCTATTTTACATAAAGGTAAAAACAACTTACTTTTGAATGTAGATAAAACAGGAAAGAAAGAAAAAAACTTATGTTGACATTAAATGAATCCAGAAGTGGGGAACATAATATGAAGGAGTCATGGTATGTTGTTAGAAAATGTAATGTACTGGAATCAAAATACCAAAAATATAAAAAACAAACTAATTGGCATTTAAAGAATAGGAAATAATCAATTAAATACAGAACATTTTTATTTGAAATGTGACAAAATACAAACACATTCCATACATAATAAACAGTAGAGCATACGATATTGAACATTCCAATGTTTCACAAATATTTGGCATTTAAAATATTAGTCTATTTTTTTTTAAAAAAAAAGCAGCATGAAAGGCTGACCAAAAGTACAGGAAGCAAACAGTGTAAAAGTATGTGATTTGTGCAAAGGGTAATAACAAATCCAAGAATTTGTAACTGAATTTGGTTGCTTTGAGATAAACTCAGCCTTTAGAAGTTTGTCCTTGTGCTTTTTGTTTGCTATGCTTTTAGGATCTTTAGGCTGAAATAACTGGATGCAGTCCTATATATCCTTAAGTGGAAATTAGCTCCATTGTTGTCATCGGGCTTTACTTCTGAGTAAACATGTAGGATCACACTATTAATCATTTCTTCACAGCTTTGCTCTGGCATAAAGGGGTTTTAAATATTGTGTACTGATTATCAGCAGGCTTATAAAACTTAAAAGTGCACAAATTCCTTCAAATTAATAGTAATCACATATACATACTTTTAAAATAAACGTTAATATTTTAAATTATTCCAGTAAATTTTTCTTGTCACGGTTTCAGGCAGCTTTTGTGTTGAATGTCTTTGTTCACCCTAGGTAAACAATTACAAATCATTTTACTTACAGCTTTAATTAAATTTTCTAACAGTTGCCTGAGCATATCTTGCTGCTAGGTTTCCATCAGAGATCAGGAGATATAGTTTTGCCTGCAGCCCTTTGATGTTTATCTTAGGAAATGCTGACCAAAAAAAATAAAAAAATGATTGGCTCAGTGTAGCTACCTGCTCTCCTCCCCCTCCCACCCCATGTCCTTAAAACACATATATTTTATTTGAACGGAATGTTTCCAAGTACATGCATATCTGACAGGGTTCCAGAGGAGTTATACTGGGGCTGTCAAAAGATACATGAATGAATTTATGGAGCTACCCAGCTGGAATCTTTAAATTTGCCTCTACAAAAACACCATAAACTTCTATTAGGTCACTTAGAGGCTTATTTCAAATATTCACTGGCTAAAATGTTCCTTCCTATTTCTACAACTTTGTAAGAAACTTGATTTTTAAATTAATTTTAAAATATAACTACAATCACTATAGGTTGTATCAAAAGACTTTTCTTGGCGACAGTAACAACAAAAAGACATTGTATCTGAAGAAGTGTGCATGTACACAGAAGCTTAGACCTTGAATACAACTTTGTTGGTCTTAAAGGTGCCCCACTGGACTCAAACTTTGTTCTGCTGCTTCAGACCAACACGGCTGCCCACCTGAACAAAAAGACAGACACCATACAGTGACCCCTGTTTAGTACAGGACTGGGTGGTGTGTAAACCTAATGTTATTAAATGGCCTTAAGCATGCCTCACTCTGCACTGGATTGTGGCTACTAATTATGGCTGTAACACTTGATTCAATGTTAGGAACAAAAGTTTAAATGTTTTAACTAGTGAATTGGAAGAGTAAACTCAACCCATCACTTACTTCTTTGTGAAGGTACTGACTTAAAGGTTTATTTTGTTTCTACAATATATTTATGTGGATCACAACAGACTGGAAAGACAGCTGAACTGTCATTTAAAAATTCAGATGATTTTGTGAGTTTCCAGAAATTAAGACACCCCAGGATAGTGGCCAGTAGTTTTATTTCTGCTCCCACCCCCATCTAGTACAGTTCCACAGAAATCATGTAAAAGAATCCCATTTACTTAAGTACAGACAATATTTGTATGATTCAGTACTGGAGGGGCTCTAACTGCATACAAATGTAAAATGAATAAATGAACTGACGAACAGAGAAAAGACAAAGCTTTGACAACTGGACGGAAGTGTAACATGTAACTTTCAGCCACAATGGAAGGTATTATCTGTCATTTTAGAGATAGCAATATACAATGATATTTCAGGGTTCTTCAGGAACTGTGCTTGCTTTACATCCGTGTGAAATGTTATCATCACTGCTGTGTCCAAGCCCTGAGGATGAACTGCAGAGAATGGGGCGGAGGGGGAGGAGAGAGAGAAAGAGAGGAAATTGGTTTTCACAACACACTCAAAGCCTGAGTAACAGAGGAGAACTTTAATTATCCCCAGTCACAAAAGAAAGACAGGAAATTTGGACTTTTAATTAGCCATTTGGAGTGCAGTTGGATATTTTTTTAGCGAGATAATTTAAACGCGAATAATTCAAGTCTGACTAAATGAAATTCACATAATCAGAATGCAGATAATTGAATTTCTACTGCATTCATTAATTCAGTGTGGAGGTGTATGTGAAGACTCCTATGATGAGCTGTCACAGCTCAATAAAATCTCAGTCAATTAATTTTTTCATTATCTTAGTATTGCATCAACAACAACAAAAAAAGTGAAGTGTGTTTATTATTATGTGTGCGTGTTTAGTAGGATGTAAGGAAGTAACCTCTCAGAATCTGAATCCGCAAAATTTTCTTCTTTTTTCTTCTCTTTATGTTCTATAGGGAAACGGCGTTTCAAAGAGGCAAACTCCTGGATTGCATCAGCCACAGAATATTTAGTATGTCCAGATACACACGCCTCAATCTCTTCTGGACTCAGTTGGGTTTGTACAAAGAGGTGAAGTCTACTGTCTGAAAGCAGAACTGGATTCTGGAGGATCCTAAAAATAAAAACAAATCAGAAACCTGAACAGGCTTTTAAGATTCTTTTTTCCAATATTGTATTGTTTTTCAGTTATCTGTAATTTATGCCCAAATGCAGTTTTCAATGCAGTATATATCCTAATGTAATTGAGCATGTGTTATCTTTATTAAATTATTTGGAATTTTAGGTGAGTAAAAACATGAAGCTAATAGTTAAGAACATCTGTTATACGAATAATTCCAAGGGCATTTTTTCCCATTTAACCATCTGTTACTACCATGTGGATCAATTACTCTTTTTTTTTTTTGGCTGGGGTGAAGGGGGGGGAGGTAGCATACCCTTATAGGAGCTGAATTGCAATCAATAACCTTGTGGTCTTTCTAAAAAGTACTACATCAATGAAAAAGGCACTACAAAAGTTTTAGACCATCATTTCAAATACCGGTTTTAAACAGAACTTATTTACCTGGGCTAACTCAAATTATGTATTTTTTCAGTTGTATAGAAGTTTCATGTCATGTACAATTATCATGAATCTTCATTTTCAACAGGTTTGTAAAATCATTTCAGAGAACCAGATGATCATTCATGTCAATGTTTTCATTTAAAATGTTCAATTTAGCAAAAAAATGTTTTTAATGCAACAAAATGTAGCATAAAGTATTTTCAAGAATGACAGCATTTTTGCAGTGTTTAAAAACACAGTAGATTTATCAAGTTCACACAAAGTTGTGATCATTCAGTCTATTTTTTCCTGTTATGTTGCTTTAGAACATTAAATTGTCCCTATAGATTATAGTAACTGTGGAACTGAGGTCCTAAAAATTTACATATAACACCTCAAAATTGATTGGAGGTATTTAGTGGTATGTAAAATGTATCCTTTCTCAATCATAATTTTGAAGCCTTACAAGACTTCACCAAAGTAGTTTCAGGACTGCAGCATGTATTTGGCAAGAAGTTACTCGTAATGTTCTCCAAGATTTGCCATTAGTGTAACAGCAACAGCTAAAAGCTACTTCTCCCAATCAGGGGTAATGCAGAATCATAGCCTGGTTCTCTCTTTAAAGAAGATTAACCATACTTAGATTAAATATATCAAAAAGAGAGGCACAACTCTTGGGTTAAATATATCAAAAAGAGAAGCACCGCATTATTAAATTCTCTGTTAGAATCCAATAATTGTTGTAGTTTAATGCCATTAGTTACTGAAAGTTACCAGAATATAAATACAGACGTAACACTGGAAATATCTCATACAGTATTTGCAGGAAAGAATATCAAAGCTATGGGTGATCTGAATTTCAAACTGTACTTGGAATAAGTTAAAAAGTTAATAAGGAAGCATGTGTATATTTATCCTGTTCGGAAGCAATAGGTTATCAGAACAAGGATCCATTAAAAAAATACACACACAGGGTGCTGTACAAAAACTGAAAGGATCAGGCCTCTAAAATGTTATGCTAAACACATATACTGCCTAAACACTACTGAGGTACTTTACAACCAAAAAGGCTAGGAACTTTCATTTTCTTTCAAAATAAAAATCGCAGTTGCCCAGATGCCAGGGTGAAAGAAAAGAGCTACATAAAGGCACCTAAACTAGTTGCAGTTATAACAGTATGTTTGATTACATGTCCAGAGTTGTCCTCAGTACTTCAACAAATATGAAATCCCTGATTTCAAAGAGCTCTGGATGTCTTCAAGGTCCTGTGCAATTTTACCCTGGGCTGATCGCTCTTGGCCATTAATGTGCCACAGACATCTGTGTATCTCTCAGACAGCAATGGCAAAAACCAGCATTCACAAAATCCAGGTTGGTTTAATGCTCATTTAATTTTGATATTACTCTTTTATACCTTCAGCTGCCCCCACCCCACTACAAGTACTATTCAACAGAATACATATACACTTTTCTACACAGCTACTATCTTCAAACCAAGAGCACAATTCAGACTTAAGCTTAGTATTTTAAATGGGAGTAATTTACAGTGCAAACCTAAGAACACTTTCCTGGGAGATCTGAGTAGGACTGCCAGTAGACCTGTTTAAGATTACTCACTTAAGCACTTGCTCTTCCCATAAAAGAAAGTGAAACTTAAAATTACTCAGCTCTGACAGGATTCTGCCCCAAATCTGATTCCAGAAAACTACTCAGTTTCTTGCCACCAGGAGCAGCTTCTATGGCATCAGTTTGAGAAACCGCAATTCATATTGAGAAACCATAATTCATACCGACTCTTAGTATTTAGGAAACCCCAAATTAACAAATAAGATACAACACAATCAAAATAATTTTACAGGAAAAAAGACTCGGTTACAATACAAACATACAGCCCACTAGTTTAAATTGAGAATCTTTTAACAAATATCGGTTGAGTTTAGCATGCATAAAGTTCAGTTAACAACACACTGTGCCTTTTTTGAAAAAAATATACTGGCTTCTGTAGTTAGATTTTAGTTGGGTGGCAAAAAATCTACGTAACACTTCATGAGATTATACTACAGCTACTGCTTTGTTGCTGTTTGAAACATATTTTCTTTATAAAATAATGGGTAATCTTTAAAATTGATTTTTGATGGTTTGAGGCATTGCACAGCAAAAGTAATGAGCACTAATGTCAATGATATTGGACAGAAATTCATTTTAGCTTTATTTCATGTCCAGTGCAATTTTGCTAAGCCTTGAACTACTGAAGCACTGTTATTAACTTGCTGGTCACCTAACACATGGGAACAGCAAACAAAAGTGATGAGAGTACAGGTTGATCAGTACCTCAAGGCTACTGTCCTTTTCTACCCCTACCCCCTGCAGCTATAATTCAATTTCCAATTTTTTACATTGGACTCATTATTTTAGTTCTCTTTTCTGCTTAATAGTGCCATCTGGAGGTTTAAGAAAGTGAAGAGACCTCAAATTAGATAATGCACCTTAAACAACAGGTACAGTGGCCTAGAAACACAAACTCTGTAAAGCATAAGTTGACCTGTGAACTGAAACATGGATGCTCTTGCACAAGCCCTGAAGCACCTTTCTCTGTTCTGCACTATGAAATGAAATCTGCTTTTTGCATCCATTATTTCCATTAACTGACAGGTATAGTGAAGCATGTGCTTGACCGAAAAGAGTGTTGCTTGTGTAGCCTATTCTTTGTGTCACCTCTGAGGCAATCTTAACTTTCAACAGATTTTCATTAGGTGGTGGTGGACTCCTGAAAGAGCATTACATTATTCTTCAGAGACTACAAGGTAGCCTACAGAACACAGTCTGAACCTGAAGCCCCATCCTACACAAAGTTAGACATTCCTATGACCACTGATTTCCTACATTAGAATTATACAGGAAACTATTTATTGCTATAATAATATAGAATGCTCAGAAACTTTTTTACTTCTGAGGGAACAGCACAGTCTGCTATATAATGTTTTAGCACCACTTTTGTAATGGAAGTGGAAAAGTCACGCGGGGAGAAAGGTCCCATCCCTCACACAAGTACAAGGGAAGAGATGCAACTGTGCGGGAAGAGGTCCCAGGAGATAGGGAAACAAAGAACCCCAGAGAAAGTGTGGTTAACAGTGGACACTAAACTGAAAAAGTATAGTCCGTTAAGAACATAAGAGAAGCCAATGTTGGATCAGGCCAATGGCCCATCCAAGCCAAACCTCTGTCACACAGTGGCCAAAAATACCAGGTGCCATCAGGGGGTTCACCAGTGGGGCCAGGACACTAGAAGCTCTTCCACTGTTGCCCCCCTCCAAGCACCAAGAATACAGAGCATCACTCGCCCCAGACCTAGAGTTCCTATCTATACCTTGTGGCTAATAGCCACTGATGGGCTCTGCTCCAGCCTCCATGTTTATCCAATTCCCTCTTGAAGCTGTCCATGCTTGTAGTTGCCACCACCTCCTGTGGTAGTGAATTCCATGTGGGTGAAGAAGTACTTCATTTTATCCGTTCTAACCTGACTGCTCAACAATTTCATTCAGTGCCCACGAGTTATTAAGGATGAAGTCAGAGAAGACAAATGAGGAAAAAATGCAAGGGCCTAAAATGGGTCTCAAATATAAGGCCCAGGGGCTGTAAGCAGTCCATCCAGGGCTCTTATCTGGCCCACAAGCAACCAGTGCAAGGGAGGGAACAGAAGGCTGCTGGGGGGAGCCACGCTGATTGTGGCTTCAGCACTGCAGAACAACCTCATCTGCAGCAGTCAAGCAGAACCCCTTTGCTTCAGTGGCAGCCTCACTGGTAAGTCTGGAGCCACCACAGCCGCATTCTTGCTGGCTCAAGGTTCCAAGGCAAGGTTACACATCTCTCTGCTCAGCCTGCAGCTAGGGATGCTGTCCCAGATGGCCACAGAGATCAAAATTTGCACATAAGGGGGTGCAGATGATCCTCTGCTGGGGCCTGCTGGCAGCCACCGTCACCGCCATATTCACACACCCCATGCAGCAGCTGTGCTTTGGCCCATGAGGGGTGTTCTTTCGCAGTCTTTCCCACACATTGGGGACCTAGTCCTGCCACTGAGCACGTGACTCAGCAGCTGGGCCTCCCTCCCCCATAGGAGGTGCCTGCTCCCCAATCAGATGATTCAGTGGCCTTCAGCCTGAGGTGGCTGCTGCTGCTGCATGGGGGTGGCACAGCTTGCCAACGAGCTCTGTCTTGAACCCCCAGCATTGCCCCACCATGGACTGCTTGGCGGGCTTGGCCGGAGGCAGGTACTGCCACATGAGCATCTCTGCCATATCGGGCTTGGCTTGGCTTAGGTCCCACTATGCACATGGCCTTGGACCTGGGACACCACCACCCCTGCTTCTGTTCAACTTGTCTTCCCAGTCCCCTTCCATGGTGGCTTGGGCACAGTGGGGAGCTCACAACACCCAGCTGCTTCACATTTTTACCCTGGAGCCCAGGCTCACAGCATTGGGAGCAGGCAGGGGAAGGGGTACGCCCCCCCTCCAGGCAGCGAGGGAGCATCTGCCCAGCAGTGCACCGCTGGCTCTCCAGTCTACCCATGC